CCAAAACTTTAAAGTACAAGTCAAATGAAGGACTTCTCATAATACAAATGAAAGTAACCTGACATAATAAAGTAACACTAACAAGAGCTAGGTATCCAATCTGATTCTTCAAAATAATCCAGCTTCAGTCTTTAATAGGAACTTCTGAATTTACTAAAGAGTTGTCAGGCATTTATGTTATATTCAGGGGTATTTCCTACCCTTTCCCCCTATACACAATATATAGAAATCATTCAGACTATCTGGAATACAAATGTCACACATCCTTAAATCACAAYAGCTACCTGGACATCCAGGAGCCGCATCCCTGATAAGATTCAGGTTTATTCTAAAAGAATGTGTATACACGTATGTGGGGACACAAAGGGAGAAAAATGAAGAGTACCAAAACCTCTGTCCCTGTCCTGAGGTCTATAAAACAAGTGCAGCCTTTAGAAAATAAATCTTAATTGCATACTGGAATTGAACTTAAAAAAATTATTTGGAACAGTGCTATCCTACAGAATCCAACTATTTGTCAGTATCACACAGAAGAGTGTGCGTATAAATGCAGATCGTGTTGTTTAATTTCTCCCCTGATTCTGAGGCATTCAGTCTTCCTCCTCATTCAGTAAAACATTGCTGAAGTCCTTTTTTCAAACACCCAGTGTGTACAGATGGCAAAAAATGCAGTTAAACTCTTGTTGGACTAAAGCACTGATACCGAACTTAGGCCAGTTATTTCCGAGATAATATGAGCCACTGAGTTTGGTTAAGAAAYTCGTATCATCTGGTTCTTATCATATCCCCACTGTTTCAGGGTATGATGAAGTGTCAGTGACAACATGCAAGGCTCCTCTGAGACCACTGCCTAAATTTGTCTTTAGCTACTGTAAAAATTATGTTCAGGGACAGAAACCCAGTGTTTTTCCTATATAATGGTCCTTCTGCTCAGCCTTTTCAGATCAGTTCGAGTGCAACCCTATGTGAATTCTTGCCTTGTGAATTCTTTCATTGAGTAATCTTGGTCATCCTTTGATGTTAGTTTGYCACTGATATTAGATATACACTTAACACAGTACTGAAATGCTGTCTGCAGTGAACCAGGAAGAAACTGCTCTCAGCACTTCCCTAGGTGTGTAACAGTGGGAGACAAGGCCAGCCACCTCAACTCTTTGTTAATGCTACGTTTTTCAAAGCTTCAACCAATGCAAATGTATGACTTGTAAGATTTAATTTGTACAATGTTAYGCATCTTTGTTGCATGCCATCCAAGCTAATAGCTGGACTAAAGAACTAGACTAAAGCTCACACAGGAACCTGTCTGGGTCTKACTTGAAAAAAGGTGAGGCAGAAAAAATTCACAGCCAGTTGAATTAATATTGGTAATTTCTGTCAAAAAATATGTTAACAAGGAAGACATTTCTGACTAACTGCTGAAACT